CCTCAGCTTTTGTTTATCTGGAAAAGTATTTATTTCTCCTTCATGTTTGAAGAAAATTTGCCAGATATACTCTCCTAGCATAAAAGGTTCTTTCTTTAGTACTTTATTTATTTATTTACTTGAGATGAAGACTCACTCTGTCTCCAAGGCATGAGTGCCCTGGGGCCATCTCCGTTCACTGTAACCTCCGCCTCCCAGGATCAAGTGATTCTCATGTCTCAGCCTATTGGTCAGGCCAGTCTCCACCTCCTGAGCTCAAGTGATCTGTCTGCCTCAGCCCCCCAGATTGCTGGGATTACAGGCATGAGCCACTGCACTGGGGTCCTTTCTTCAGTACTTTAAAAATGTCATGCCACTCTCTCCTGCCTATAAGGTTTCCACTGAAAATTCTGCTGCCCAATGTATTAGAGCTCCATTGCATGTTATTTCTTTCTATTCTTTTGTCTGGCTCTGCCTCCTTCTAGGGCACAAAAGAATTCTCTTTGCACCACATCGCTGCTGCCAGGGAATGGAGAAAAACCACTGTCAGTGATTTAAGACTGTTTCCTGGCCACGCACGGTGGCTCATGCCTGTAATCCCAGCATTTTGAGAGGCTGAGGCAGGCAGATCATGAGGTCAGGAGTTTAAGACCAGACTGGCCAACATGGCGAAACCCCATCTCTACTAAAAAATACAAAAATTAGCTGGGCATCGTGTCTTGTGCCTGTAATCCCAGCTACTTGGGAGGCTGAGGTAGGAGAATTGCTTGAACCAGGACCCAGGAAGTGGAGGTTGCAGTGAGCTGAGATTGAGCCACTGCACTCCAGCCTGGGCTGCAGAGCTAGACTCCATCTCAAAAAAAAAAGAAGACTGTTTCCTACCTTTTCAATGCCTCTTTCAGCAACATAAAGTTAAAAACATGTACTGTGTGTGTTCACCTAATTTTTGGCTTTAATGAAGGTGCTTTTTTTGTGTTGTGTGTAGATAGTTTTTAAATTGGTGTCTTTGTGGGGTGGTGGACAATCAGTGGAGTTTTCTATCTGCCATCTTGTTTCACCTCTCCTCTGAATTTCTTTTAAATCCACCCACACACAAAATCTTTACCTTTAAACTAGCAACTTTTTGCACTTACATTTATTGTATATATTGATCTAGACTTATTTCTACTATTATAGATGATTATGTCAAATTTAAACCCCCTACTATTGACCTAACATATATCTTTTTCTGAAGCTTTCTTCCTGTGTTTCCTTGTAGTAGTTTGATGGTTTTAGGTCTTACATTTAGGTATTTAATCTATTGTGTGTTAATTTTGCATATGGTGTAAAGTAAGGGCTCCACTTCATTCTTTTCTGTTTGAGTATCTGGTTTTTCCAATACCATTAGCTGAAGTGACTCCTTCCTTCTTGTGTGGTCTTGGCACCCTTATTGAAAGTAATTTGTCCATATACGCAAGTGATTATTTCTGAGCTCTATATTCTGTTCATTTGTCTACATATCTATCTTTATGCCAATACAACAGTATCTTAATTACTGTTGCTTTGCAATATATTTTAAAATCAGGAATGTGAAGCATCCAATTTTTCTTCTGGATTGTTTGGCTATTCAATGTGCCTTTGGATTCTACATAAGTTTTAGGTTGTTAATCTCTATTTCTATAAAAATGCTATGGAGATTTTGATGGGGATTACATTGAATCTATAGATGGCTTTAGATAGTATGGATGTTTTAACAATATTAAGTCTCCCAATCCATGAGCATGAAATGTTTTTCCATTTATTTGTGCTTTATATCTTTCATTTTTTCCTAGTTTACATGTACAAATATTTCTCTTCTTTGGATAAGTTTATCCCTATGTGTTTTATCTTTTTTAATGCTGTAGTAAATGGAATTTAGTTAATTTCCTTTTGGGGATGTTTATTGTTAATACATAGAAATACACTAATTTTTGAATGTTGATTTATATCCTGCAACTTTGATCTATTTGCTTATGAATTCTAACAGGTTTTTTGGTGGAATCTTTATGTTATTATATAAAATATGAACAGTATTAATTTTAATTCTATTCCAATTTGAATGACTTTTCTTTCTTTCTTTCTTTCTTTCTTTCTTTCTTTTTTTTTTTTTTTTTTTTTTTTTTTTTTTTTTTTTTTTTTTTTTTTTTTTTTT